TAATGTCATGATTTGTTGCGAACTAATTATTAATAGATTTGACTTCTAAATTAACTAAAGACAATGCAAGATTATGCGTCAACCACTTTGACCAATTTGAATATCTAGCGATAATCATAATAATCAACATAATAATTATTATTATCATAAGGATGTTCATAAATACGATAATAAAAAATAGTCTTAATCATGATAATCATATTAATCATAACCATAATAACCATAATAATAATAATAATAATAGCCATAATCATAAAAATCATGTTAACGATTATAATGATAATAATAATCATAATCATAATAATATTAATAATAATCATAATCATCACAATAACAAATGATTGTTCCAGGCGGACATGACAGACCTGCATGGGATCTATCAGGACATGCAGCAGATGACAGCTGAGCAAGGAGATCAAATAGGTGGGGTATTTTTGGCCAATGAGTTTCAGCTCTGTCTCAATTTCAACAGACAGAACAATTTCAAATCAGGAAAAATTTCAGCTCTGTGAGCGAAAGAAATTTGAATTTTTTTCATCGCTCAATAAGATATGCAATTCAGTTTTTATATTCAACGAAAATGAACACTGAAATTAGTTTATATTAAAAAAACGACATTGGCCATCCAGAGCGAAATTGGTGAAGTTGGCGAAATTGGCTATCCAGAGCTGTTGGCTATCCAGAGCTTTCGGACCAATTCGGGAAATTTGTCAACTACATGTAAACTTTATATGCGATTAATAGTTTTTTATTTTGAGAACAGCGTGGTATTATAAATACCAAAAATATCTACATAGGAAATCTGCCAAGTCATTTTTGACACTTGAAAATTTTTTTGTCACAAGCTGAAAACAAAAAAAAATTTGGTGATTTTCTTTGCAAATCTATGAAGGTTTGAAAAATGCCAATTTGTTATAAATGACGCGCGATGTACTTCATGCTATTATTGCCTGAATGGCTATTTAATTCGGCTCTGAAATTTTTCAAAACTGAAAATAGACATGCTATTTGCTCTAGTTAACACAATAATGTATGCTAATTATATCACTGTGTAGTACTTTAAATAGCGCGTGGAAGATGATTTTCAAGAATAAAATATGATCAAAATTTTTCGAAAGCTTCATCAGTTTTTTTTTTCAAAACCGAACATTGCTCGATAGAAATTAAGACGCTGTCTGAATATTCAAAGCGTCGCCCTGATACGATCAATTTTGATAGTATATGAGAAAGAAAGATTTCGTATGGATTGTATTCAAATTTCTACCTTAAAACAGTTATATTCCCGCACCGGAGTTCCATGGATAATAATCGATTATATTGAATTTTCGTGGTCTGTCTAAATAAATTTCGATAAAAATCGATTATAATCGATTAAAAATGGATTAAAATGAATCTAATTTTCGTTCAATAAAATCCGAATAAAATTACAAAATAATTGACTATAATCCATTAAAAATGGATTATAATCCTTATGTTTTTTAGTTCAATATAATCCATTTTAATCGATTCTATTCCATTAAAAATGGTTTATAATCCTAATACTTTTTGAGCCATTATAATCCATTATAATCGATTATAATCGATTATATTGGATTTTTTCGAGAGGTTATTTGTGAAATTTACAATTTTTATCAAATTTATCTCATTTCCTGTTTAGTGCAGTTGCTACGTAAAACCTTTCATAAAATGATACATTTCACGTTAAAATTTATATATATTATTTAATATAATATATATTGTGGTTTGAACGGTGTTCCCTCCGTTTACTTTAACCCCCCCACCCCCCTCCCCCACGTTCCCTGCCAGTTAAGCACAAGTGCCATTCGCCCCCGTACCCCCCCCCCTATTTATTGGTAGACTTTGGGGGAGTGGGTTTAAGATTGACACCCCCCTCTCTTTAATTGCGGGGAGTTAAAAATTACTTGAGGTGGTGACATGGCATTTACTAAAAGACATGGCATACTTTTTGCAAATTTCCTGCGAAATATGCAAAAATTCTGCAAAATTAATCGAATTTAGTTCAAAAAATATAATGTATTATAATCGATTATAATGGATTATAATGGATTTTTATCGCAAAATCAATCGATTATACTGGATTATCTTGGCAAAAAATTCTTCGATTTCAGTGCCAAAAATAATGGATTTTAATGGATTATAACGGATTTTTATTTTTCGAAAAAAAAATCGATTTTAATGACCACATAATCGATTACGTGGTCTAAATTTGCCACAATAATGGATTATAATGACAACATTTGAGACAACATTTTTCCATTATAATCAATTATTATCCAAAGAAATCCGGTGCGGGTTGCGCATGTTTCAATAGAAAACAAGGATAGCCGGTTACTGTGTAATTAGTGTCATGTTTTCTGCGTAGAGTGATCAAAGGAATTGAACAAAAATATAACTTGAGCATATTTTACAAGCATCGTAAATTTTTCAAATTGGACAACTTTTTATTTTGAAAAAATTTATAAAAAATAGAAAAAATTATTAAATATTATTATTAAATTAGTAATTATTAAATTTTTGAAGTTTTTGATTTCCAAAAGGGTGCTAAAAAGCTCCAAAAGCCAACTTTTTTGAACAAAACTAAATTTTAACGGCATAAAGGAAGCATAATTGAGCTATTTTTTTCCACTGCATAAATAAGCCTGCTCTTTTGTCGCGCTTGCTTTTTGTCGCGCGAAATATGACGAAAAAGTTAAAAATTTTACACCCGTTTCTCTCAACACTGCGAAAAAATTTTGGAAATTTTTTAAGGTTGACCGAGTCAAGACTGAAAGGGCTTTAAAATGGTATTTCATTGAACCCAACCCAATGATTATTTGTTTTACTTGATTTTGCGTGGAAAAAAAATAAAACACACCGGAATACAAAGTTCCTCCCTATTTTTCAAATAGCCAGAACAATAAGAAAAATTAGTGGGCTAATTTGAAAAAATACCCATTATACTCATTTAATTAAATTGGTAAATCGTTCTCAATTGAATTGAGACTTTTAGCTCTTATTAATTGGATACGGATGCAATACTCTAAATTCACCGGGGATAAATCGAGGGAAAAAAAAACAATATTTTCGATAATTTTAAAGTGCTGTCAGAACATTCAGGGTTCCGCATTGATTTACGAGCAGTATTTTTCGACTTTCAGATGATATCGAACAGAACGTGGAAACAGCAGTTAGTGAAGTGAAAGGAGCGAACACACAACTCAAAGATGCAGTCGTTCTCCAAGTTAGAAGCAACTCTTGATTCATGTATAACTCCAAATTAAAGGCATTATGATTTTTTTAAGCAACAAATCAGCTTTCATTTAGCCTAAAACTGCTCATTTGATGTCGAACTTTATTTTTAAAATTCGGTTCAGCGTGTAAGAATGCGTTGAAGGATTTTATCTGCCTAAAAGCACCGTTTTTTGACCGATTAAGTTGTTCAAGGTCTGCAATATTGCCCAAAAATCGGACTCAACCAAAGTGAGCATATCCTTCTAGTTTCCCGGGGCGTAATTTGGAAATTATTTTTTGGCTACGGTGGTCAAATGTCAAACTCAATAGCAATTTTTGACCTGGTTTGACACTGACAGTCGAAAAGGTTCACAAGATGAACTCAAAGACGAGGCATAAAGTCGAGTTGGTCGAAGATTATAAGTTTCACTAGTTGGCAGCAAAACTAGGCATAATCAACAGTTTATTTAGAGAGCGATAAAAGAGTAGTGTGTGTATGAGTATGTATTTCTTTTCTTCGGTGTGCTTTTTTCAGCTTTTCTTGTGATTCCAGACTTCACTGATCACTGAATTGTTTCAATGCCCTGTCTCAATGACTCTTTGTATTGCTCTGTTGTCTATCTGCCATCACTATCTTCTTTGTGACTTTTTCCTCGGTTGTCTTTTTTGTGATTTTAACTGTCTCAACAGTTTACAGCTTGCTCTCTCAAAAAATTTTTTGTTAAGTCAGTCAATCTTGACTTCTGACAGGTATTTTAGATGCTGGGCCCATAACCTTTCACAGGTTGGCAGCAAAACTAGGTATAATCAACAGTTGAATTAGAGAGCGATAAAAGAGTAGTAAATCAACTTCTATGTATATGGAAAGTTAACCGCTTGTTGAGATCTGATCTCGTGATTGATATAAAAACGCGCGATATCACTTGACACTGTGCGATATCCAATCATGTTCTTAATTTGAACCAAAAAATGAGAGGTTTTTTCTCCGATACTTAACAATAAAGTCAAGCACAAAGTCTAATATGCTCTATTGTTTGTCTGATGCTGATTCTAATCTGAAATTTGGCGACGAAAACGCTTAAACGAGGATTATTCCCAACAAGACCATTGAAGGTGACCAAATATTTTCGAAATTTTTTTTCGATCTTTTTCTGACATATCTTTTTGAAAAGCCAGCAAAACTTTTTTTTTCATTGTTATCACATTGATGTGGAACAATGCAAACATTTTGCCAAAACCACAAAGACATTATTAGTGTGGTCCAAAAAGTCTAGATACAAAATCCACATTTGCTTAAGTACTAAGTTAGCTCATTACAGGAGTGGCAATTATTCGTTACAAGGTACCAAAAAGGGGAATAGTTAAAGAGAACCTTGAACTTTTGAAAAAAGTTGAGCTATAAATTTGCTCCTTGTCGGCACTGTTAGTTTAGAAAATTAAAAAGCAATATCGATAAAATTTTACTTCTTCTGTGCTTTAGTGGCTTTTTTGCCTGTTTCAACCAAAAGTTCGGAGGTTCGAGGCCAACCTCAATCTGTGCTCGTTGGTTGATTACCTAGCCCAGAAAAAAACTGAAAAAATAAAATTTATCAATATATGAAAGTTTTAAATTTAATTAATCAGTTTATTTTTTTTTTGAAAAAAAAAATTCCTGGTAAAAAATGAACAGCATTACAAATAAAATGGTAATTCTTAGCTTAAAATAACAGTTCTTTCTTTCTCATTTTAGAGTCAAGCGCGCCGGAAGAAATTCATGCTGTTTGGTATTCTTGGAGTAGCCGCTGGAATTCTCGCTATTATTGTTATTTTACTCATCAAAGGAGTCTTCAATTAGTTTATTTTTATACTTTTATGATGTTTATTATATTGTATGCTTATGAAACTGTCAGCCAATACTTTTGTTTTAAACGTCAAATCAAACACTGTAATATTGTAATATTAATTTTATTCAGTTATAGACACATTTCAAATCAACGTCGATATGAAAATTCGGCCCGTTCACTTAAAGCTTGCATGTCCTAGTATACCTTAAAACAATCGCTTTTTGAATTTTTATCCTCTGAAAACCGTCGTTCAAACCTAACTAGAGCATAAACATCAGCGGATTTAGGGAAGAGGAGCGGCAAACGAACTCCCTCCCCCCTCCCCCCTCCCCCCTAAGGGGTTCGACCCCCTGCCGACCCAAAGTGTTCCTCTTTGTATTATTTTGAGAAGTCAATGTTTGGCTGACAGACCCTAAATTTTTTAAACTTTTTTTTCCAATAAATTCTAATTTTGGGAGGGAAGCGCATGCCAAAAAAACGCAATTTTTGTGGTCAAAACTTTGCAAAACATGCCGCCTTTTGTGCCTGTTTTTTTGGTCAAAATCATTTTGGTGGAACTAAAAGCAAAATTCCAGAAAACTTCAAATTTTCTTAAAAATAAAAATCTAACCCCTCCTCCCCTCCTCGAGAAAATCCTAGATCCGCGCCTGAACATAATCTCTGTACCTGTTACTATGAAAAAAATGTGTTCTACTTTGTTTCTGCCTTTCTACTTCTTTTCTTCTGCTATTTTTCAATCTGCAAACATTGTTCCGATTTTCAAAGAAAGTGCGGATTAATTGGAGAGTGAGTAGTATGCATGTAGTACACTAGGATGGGGAGGGGAAGCGAAGATGGGGGGGAAGGGTTGTCATCCATGGATGACCATTAGTTATAAATCGTAATGGTCACCATGTGTTATAAGTCAACCAATAATTACGACAACTAATAGTCTCAATGCATAAGGTAGTGATCTGCAATGGCCCTTATGTGAAATGTTTCTTTAAAGTTTTTCCATGCAAAAAAATTCAAAAAAACCGCACAAAAAATTTTTTTAAATCACTTTCAAATTAAAAAAAAAATGTAAAAAATTAAAAACTTCATTTTTTTTTCATTTTTTTTTCAATTGTTCATTGTGAGTAGACGATCCCTAATTATTCCAATGCACAACTATTGATCTCTGTGCATAACAAACGATCTCTATTTATAAAAAATGGTCCCATAATAAATGTGTATTATAATCATTTATTCCTATGGATTACTATAGATCTCTGTGTATAACCAACTATCACTATGTATAACTAGTCACCCTTATGCATGACTAATAACCTCTATGTCTAATTGTCCCTACGTGACACCAATGATCCAAGTGTATCACTAAAAGTCCCTATGTATAACTAATAATCCCTATGAATAAAAAAAATCACTGTGTATAACTGATGACCTCGATATATAACTAATGATCTCTTTACAAAGCTAATGATCTTTCACAAAAAAATTTTGCAGGGCGTGTACATTCAAATAAACGAGATCTTGTATTAGCCAGGTCATTTTTGGCAGAAAACGGTCAGAAAAATTGTAGTCGTAGTGATTATTGAGGATTTTAGATAGTAGAAGTAAATTATTGAGCTGAATGTACATGGGTAAAGGCAGTATTCCTAGACGCTGAAGCGACGTTTTGTAATTAGGATCTGTTGCAATCCATTTGCATGCATTGCGTTGAACACCTGCTAAGAGTTTCATTTCTTCGACGTTCAATTGATGGCACGCTGAACCGTATAGCAACACTGGAATTACCATGGATTTGAACAGATTAAGTTTGGTCTTGTTATTAAGAGGCAGTGGGTTGCGCTTAAGCATGCATAGAGTGTTGAGGGCGTTTCTTCTTCTAAGTTTAATATGCGATGTCCAGCCTAGATCCGATTTTACAATTATTCCTAGGTCTTTTTCTTCTGAGACTTTCTTAATTAAAATTGAGTCGAAGTAAAAGTCGCTACTTGTGGGACGTTTAACCGGTAGGTGAGCGCATTTTGACGCATTGAACGCAATCTGGTTTTGTTGAGTCCACGTCAAGATGTTATTTAGGTCATTCTGAAATTCTGCGTTAAGTGTACCAATACGTATGAACTTTGCGTCGTCTGCGTATAGATAGCTGGTGGATTGATTACAGACACTTGGTAGGTCGTTAATCATGACAAGAAAAAACAATGGCCCGAGGATTGATCCTTGAGGAACACCGCTTGTGACATAGGAGATAGTCTCGGAAGTTTAAAACTTACTATCAAAATCAGCAAAACAACCAGAATTAAAACCAAATCAAAAGGAATCAAACTTAAGCACATCGAACAAAAACAATAACAATAACCAGACATTAGGGATAAGGATACGAGGAGTAAAAGAGAGCGATGACAAGGATCCTAGAAAACGTCAAGAACAAGACTTCTGTGAAGTACAAAAAATCCTGACTCATATGGAGGTTGAATGTAAATTCAACGACTTGATTAGACTAGGCCAAAGAGGTAATGATCGTGACAGAACGAAACTTCTTAAACCGCCAAATGTATGGCTGAAACGGTTGATCTTATCATCAGCACGAAAACTGAAAAACTATGGAGCTGCAGTATTCATAAGCAAGGAACTAACAAACGAAGAAGCCGCGATAGAAAACGAATCTTTAAAGAAAAGAAGAGAACTTATAGATCAGGGGACAAAATAAGAAAGACTTTGGTGTAAGGGATTGCAAGCTATACAAAAGAGATGGAAAACAATAGATAGTGATCTTGCCTAAATCTGAAACAACAGAAAACAATTGACTAAGACAATTAGCTATCAAAACCCTCAAGTCAGTTGCTATCCTCGCTGATGCCAGACGTTCTGGTTCACGTGACGCTCGTGTTGCCCCAGCTCGCCTTCTCCAGAGCCTCTCAGTGTGCCTCATGAGAGGAAACGCCACTATGATTGTCAGTCGGGCCATCTAGTCTTGTGCAGTTTATTACGTTTTTGCCTTCCCAATTCTGGTGCTCCTTTGTTCCTTTGCTGTTAGTGCATTCCCCCTCTCCTTTCAATCCTCAATGGTTGATCCCACATTTGTTGTTTGTTTTGTGTTGTTGTTTGTTTTGTATTCGGTGTTTGTTGTGTATTCGGTAATAATATTTTATCATTTTTATACTAAAAATTGACTAAGACAGAAATCTAATCTACTACTCTATAATGTCAGAAGCATCTGAGAATATTCTAGAAGAACTCTCTTCTCGAATGCCGTCCAATCTAAAAACATCTACGATATCATTTGTCTAACAGAGACATGGTTAGCTGAAATTGTGACGACAGGAGCAATTTTTCTTGACAAATTTAACATTCATAGGAATGACAGGCAAAGCGTTAACGGCAAATCAAAACACGGAGGTGTTATAATTGGGATAAACCACGAACTACCTCACTACTGCATACCCTCAACTTTCAATGACGGCATAATAGTCAAGCTCTTGATCAAAAACCCCGTCATTATAGCTTGCATATACTATGCCCCCAAAGGAAGCGAATACCGCTGGTCGTCAAAAATCCTATTGAGTTTTCTATATTTTATTAGGCAAAAACAAATAGAATTAAATGTAAGAAACGGGATGATTACTGGAGACATCAACTTTGCTCAAACGGACTGGTCGACTCTAATCATCTCTGATGAAGACGAACAGGCCTTTCTGGACGCTCTTGCAGAACTTAACTTCGAACAAATGATAACGGGAAAAGAAAAGGTACAACTAGACGTAATACTCTGCAACCACCCAAATTTGTTGACTCTCGTGAAAACGACAATAGACTCACATCCTTGTATAAAACGGATCATCCTCCTTACCACGCAAAACTCAACCTAATTTTAAAAGATGATTACATCAGAGAAAAAGAAGTAAATGACCACAATGGCTTCCAGGGATTCTCATTCTCGAAAGCAAACTGGGACGAAATAAATCAATACATCAATGAAAACCCATTTACCACATACTGCTACAGCAATATTGATCTAATGATTGAACTGTGGTACACTTGGCTACTTAACATAATCGAAAAGCACATTCCCAGGAAAACAAAACATCGAATTTCTCTGGCACCTTGGGTAACATCTGAAACATCGAATCTCATCAAAATTATGGATACAATGCGCAGAAAATGTGAAAAAAACGTGACCGAATGTCAGTTAGACAAACATTTGAAAAACACCTCGAGTTAAACTTAAGCGAAGACCAAAAAGTATACGAAGAAAACTTATTTGTTGATTTTAACTTCTCAAAATTGCAAAAATTTTTAAAAGTATTCGAAAAACAGATACAATAACAGGTAGAGTCTACCTGGATGATCATAGAGCCACATCAAATATCGATAAAGCCTATTTGTTTAATAAATACTTTCAGTCAGTTTTTAGCCACTCCCTCTATGTAGGCGAGAATAACCCTTCTCAGGAATGTAAAATAGCGAATTTCCATTTTACCGCAATGGAAATCGAAAAAATTCTTGAAAACTTGGATATCAACAAAGCCAAAGGATCTGCTAACCTAGGAAACATTTTTTGAAAAAACTAAGCTGTTCTATCTCTAAATCTCTGTATCTACTTTTTAACACAGTTGCTAATAAATGTGTTTTTCGCTTATTTTCCATCTTCAAAGAGGGAGACAAGCAACTTGTCTCAAACTATCGACCAATAAGTCTGCTAACGGTTATCTCAAAGGGGTTAGAAAAATTAATTTTCGATGAAATGATTTCATCAATGAAGTTCAGCATCTCAAACTTACAACACGGCTTGCGACAAAAACGATCTACTGTTACAAACCTCATAGAGGATCTCCATGAAGTATATACTTACTATGATAATATCGAAACAAAATACCTGGCTTGCCTCTACCTAGATTTCCAAAAGGCATTCGACAAGGTGAACCACGCAATAATAATTGAAAAAATTAGGAGCTTTGGTTTCACAGGACAAAGTTTAAAGCTCTTAAAAAATTATCTAACAGATAGAAAACAAACCGTTCGCATTGGTCAAGCAGTATCCGAGCCATTACCAGTACACAGTGGTGCGCCTCAGGGGTCAATTCTCGGACCTTCGATGTTTATTCTCTATATAAATGACCTACCAGATTGGTCAATGTCAGCAAGTTTTGGCTACGCAGACGATTACAAAAATGTCTGCAATGACCCATTAATTTTAAATATCGATGCGAAGAGAATTTGGAATTGGTGTGTAAAGAATTCTATGGCAGTAAATGTGTCAAAAACTAAAATTTTCAGTGTGAAAGGAAATGCAAAAGTTGAAGTAAATGGAACTCTTTTTGAAGAAACAGCAAAAATGAAAGATTTAGGTCTTATAATCACTAGCACATCAAGTTGGACTGAAAATGCTACAAAAAGATCTGCCAAAGTTCTGAAGGCATTATGCTCAGTGAAATGAAACATCTCCAAAATAACAACAAAAGCCATGAAAATAAAATCATACAAATCATATGTTGCACCTATTGTAAGTTATGGCTCATCATTATAGAAACCCTCAAAAGAGATCTCAAAATAATTGAAAATGTACAAAAGAAAGCAACAGCGTGGATATTGAGTCCAACTCAAGAATACAAAGATCGATTGATTTCCATACATATCCCTCCTCTGTAACTTTATCATGAACTACACATTCCACTGCTACTGCACAAAATCCTAACTGGAATAACTTACCTATAATTGAAAAAATTCATAAGTGTTAAGGAAAAAGGACAAACAAGATATGCGAGTATGAAAAAATACGAAAGCAAACAATTTCGACTGCAAAAATCAGAATCTGACTTTTTCCTGAGAGCCTGCAATATTACGATACGAACGCCTTGACTGAACACCTCAAATTCGATGTCATGGAGCACGAAAACATAAAAGAACTAGTAACGAATGTTTTCTGGAGATATTTTAAAGAGAAGTTCAACGAAAACGATTCATGCTCGTGGAGAATTGACTGCCGATGCATGAACTGTAAAAACATTAGAAAACTAAACTTTTTAGACTTTTGATTTGACAAAAACTGAAAGGGAGCTAACTCCCTTGGATTTATTTTTCCTAGTTCTTGTTTTTTTTAATGATTATTATTATTAAAGAATGATTGGGACAGACAGTCTTTGATTTTAACACATTGTGTTCTATTTGTCAGGTAGTTATAAATTAGCTTTAATATTTTGCCTCTGATTCCCAACGAGTAGAATCAGAATACCGTCAGAAGAACTTATCAATCAGAATACCGTGATCTACTTTGTCAAAAGCTTTCTCGAAATCGGTATATTTTACGTCTACTTCTTCATTTTTGCTTATAGCTGAATATATGGTATCAAGATAGGCAATGACGAGTCATTCCTTGTCCCACTTCCTGAAATGCCTTTTAGGGGGCTTGAGATGATGCTGTTGTTCTTTTCGACCTATCTTTCTCCAGGTGGACTCGTCATTGCCAAAGAGTCTGCTGCAAGTCGTTCGTGTTCGAAAGCTTCAGTGCGCGACATCACTCATATGGCGGGCAATAGGCAGTGATGCTCGCAAACGCCCAACCAAGAACCGGACGTTTTGCAAACACAAATATAATGGCATTTCTTTTTTCATTTCAGATTTAATGTTAGACTCTCGCACTCTATTCTGAACACATGGCGAGTTGATTAATGTGACGGAGGCTGGGATTGATGGCAGCTTTTGGTTGTCGAATTTTTGCAACCTTCTGGTTACCTAATTAATATGATACCGGACGTATTGCACACAAATATACTAGTATTTCTCTTTTCATTTCAGATTTAATGTTATTTTCTTGCATTCTTTCCTGAACAAATGGTGAGTTGAAATAGCGGCCTATCCTTTCCTGCCGATTGTTGTAAGCTATTACTCGCCTCAAATGTTTTCATGTAAATTTTAAAGGATTTTCTGGTCTTTGAAGCTTGGTAAAGAAAGATAGAGAGAGCTCTTATAGAAAGTTTTGCAATTTTGAATAAGATACTATAATGGGGAAAGCTGCGCAGAGTTAGGTTGTTTAGCTTCAAAGGAAGATTCAAGAATTGGTTTTTTCAAATATTTTAGCAACGAACATGGGTGTATGGCGATGCTGGACCCGGTTACCCTCTCATCAGAGTTCGTTTTGGAGTCGATTACGACATTTACTATCACGATGAAGCGAACGACCACAAGATCGGAAATTGTCATCCTATTTTGTCAGTATATATTTGGATGGCAATTGTGCTGCTAGCAACTCTGTTCATAGCTTGGTGCATTGTTGAAACCCTCATTGCTTATGCTCAATGGATTGCAGCCGACGAGATTCGTGAAAGGACTCGAAAACAAATTGAAAAATTCCCTGCGGAAATTCAGAAGTTGGACCCGAAATTCAAATTGATGGATAAAAACAAGTTTATATCTGCTTCGTGTTACCATTCAGTAAGATTCAGAATCAAGCAACGCTGAAAACCAAGTCTCTCCTTTTCTGTCCTTACTCTGTCTTCATGTGGAGGTAGAATTTTCATTTACTTTTTTTCTAGCTGTTATAAATCTTTGACTTCAAGAGGAGAGCCAAAAAATTATTTACTTGATCTTTTCAACTGACGAGACTTAATCAGAGGTAAATGCTTAAATTTATTACTCTGATTAGAATATATTGACTTGGAAACGTCAAGTAAATACCTTGTACCCGATCCTCAAATTGACCAAGATAGGAACATCCTCAGATAAAAACATTTTTAGCGAAATACTCGGTTCTAATTTAAATGTCCTTGAATTGCTTTGAATGGATGTTTGTTCAAGTTGAAACACGTTATGATTGCAAGAATTGAAAAAAAAACAATATTTTTTGAAAATAGTTGTTTTAACCGCAAAGGTCGTGGAAGGATTATTTGGAAGGAATTTTATTTAGGAAAAAATTGGATACATTGCCTCCTATCAAAACCGACTATGATTATGAACTGAATTGTTTGCTTTTCTGTTGTAGAAACCACCCGCGGTGCATCCAGTTTGCAAAGGGGGAGCCGGAGGTGGTGGGTTTGGCGAGGGTGAAGAAGAGTACTCGGAACTCATGAAGCGAATCGAGTTCAACGCCAAAGACCACAGAACACGTCACGTGACTGGTGCCTTAGTTCTGGCATGCACATTCGCCAATAAACCCTTGCTTAGAGATATTTGTGTGATAAATCTGACTAAAGTAAGCGACAATCTTGGCGGTAAAGGCGTGATTGAAGTGTACGATGAGAACGAAGTCGCATTCCACTTGATGTCGGCGTGGTTTCTAACCGCTTATTATGATGAAGTAGTGCCTGAACGAGACGACTCGCCCCTGCCTGTGTTTTGGTTTTTTCTGTTCAAGCTGAATGAAATGAGTAAAATGGGATACTTGGGAGGTCACGACCCGAAATACGTTCCAAGTGAATTCTGCTTGCATCGGTAAGAAATAGGATAAAAAACACATAAAAAGAATACACTCGAACTCATTGGTGCCCGATTTGAGAATTCAAATTCTGAAGCAAATCGACAGTTCCTGTTTTCGAAGTTAAGATTTGAAGAAAATAAAAAATTTGAGCAAAATGAATGTCTCAAACATAAGCTAACCTTCATGAAAAATTCAGTATGAAAATTTTGGTTATCCGGAGTTGAATGTTAGGCGTTTTGTGTTCAGAGACGAAATATGGTATTACCCAATAGAGGTAGAAGTCTTCGTAGACGAAGAAATGGAAACACTGGAAGACTTCGTGTTCTTGTCGTGTGACAACATCCACGAAGCCACTCGCAAGCTGATCAAACGTGTCTTCGGCCACACGAGGGCAAGCAACCTGCCGCCTAAATTGAAGTTGTTCATGCAGTGCGAGGCGGAAACAGAGAAGGATAAAGACGGAGACGGCGAGGAGGGGGAGGAGGGTGAAAATGAGGGCAAAGAGGAGGAAGGCGAAGAGGAAGAAAACGAAGAAGGCCAATCGAAGTCGAAATCAAAGTCTAAAGTGGAAGGCGAAGACGGAGAAAAACGTTAGAAAAATGATAATTGATTACTCTTGCGTTTAGCAAGCGTTGTCAAATCGTAACGTAGACTTTTTTAGGAGAACTTTATCTGAATCACTGGATTACTTTGTCAATCCTGTGATTTTGTCAATATCAGACGTATTTTGAGCATGTTTTCATGTAAAAAAATAGGTTCTCTTCGAAGTTAATCTATTTTGTTAGTTGTAAATATACCAACTCTGATTTGGTGTAATTTAAGTTTTCATTTTTTGCTTTGCTTGACTAAAAGGCTTGGGATTTAGTAATATTGGATTAATAACTTTAGATGGCGTCGTTTAATGGGCAAAAAAGTTGTTATTTGTACGTGTTCAGGGTGTTGCATAGCTCTTTAGTCTTTAAATGAAAACAATATTTTTAGGCTCAAATATTGCCGGCTTAGTTACTGCTTTGTTTTGATGAATTAGCTCACGCAATCTTTTTTTGGAAGGTTTTCCTAAAAATATACCTCATTCAAGATAAATACAGAGAAACGCATGTGTCAAAAAGCTCCTTTTTGAAGTGTAAATGAACGTTTTACTTGGGTTAGTTTTATCAAAAGTGTCAATTATAAACGAATTTGGAAGACGAGTTCTTAACTAGAGGGTCTTGAGTTCGAATCTCACTTCGGTACCGGTCGGAGTGTTTGCAATGTCATCGGCCTCTTCCAATGGATGTCACTCCACCTCCCCCGAGGATGGTCCCGCTGTTAATAGGACCGGGAGGAAGTAAAAGAAAGTAGTGTGAAAGGTTTATAGGAGTTTAGTTTTCAGCTGAGGAGGAAATGCAGCACTATAACATGCACATGATGGCCCAGAGGTTCCAAGATCTTACCAACCAGTACGTACTTCAGGCATTTCTGCTTTGTTTTGTTTTGGTAGCTAACAATAAAATGAGTAGTAGAATAAGACGATTAGTTGAAATTATTTGGCGAACAGTTTTCTGAGATTTAGTTTGGTTCAGTTAGTTTGAGTTCTGACCCCATTGAATGTTCTTGACCAATATCTTGTCATCGAACAGCTGAGAAATTTTCTTTATTACCGCTTTGAAAATTTATAGCATATCTTTGTGGCAGATTATCGCGGGCCATCAACATATGTAGCTGCTTTCTGTATTCCTTTGAACATGTTTTAGAGTGTTCCATTTTGGGGATCTTCTCCTCCCAAAGACGGCTGTTTTCTACTTGAAACCGGAAAAGCAAGCTCATGGCAAGAAGAGCATGAAACCAGAGCAGTACGACGACTTCATCATGTGTGACCAAATTCGAGATCCAGAAGAGAACAATGAGAGGATAGTGGACCCCCTGCCAAGTGATAAGGCTATGGAAAAGTCCAAGGCGCATATTCTGGCTCATATTGTGTTCCTGTTTGACACTATTCTACAGGAAAGGTATGTTCTCCGAAATCATGTAAAAGTATTCAATTTTTTTTTTCGTTAATCTGCTGCTTGATTTTTAATTTATGCTATACTAGCGTCTAATAGGCTTATTGTCAGTCAAGTTTTTTGGGCGTCGATGAACAAGGTTCAATTCTTTATTGAAGTTTCCAGTTTTTTTTTCAGGAAAAAATTTGTTTGGATATAGCGGATAAGTGTATTTTATTACATGCATTGAGTTAGATTCTTTTTGTTCAAGCAGGGCGGATCTAGGATTTTCTCGAGGGGGATTTTCTAAAAATTTTCGAAAGTTTTGTTGACCTTTTTTTTAAGTCGACTAAATTGATTTTCCGAGCTCTTCAAAATCACTAAAAGACCCTGTTTTGCAAAGTTTTTGCCCGGCAGGCAAAATTTTGAAAAAAAAGAGGCCAAAAAAAGCGTTTTTAGTCACTTTTGACCAAAAAATTTTGTCCAATAAATTGCGTTTTTTCGGCGCGCGCTCCCCCCTCAAAATTAGTATATCTATTCGCGCCTTAAGAAATAATTCAGGGTCCGTCACCAAAAATGGATATCTGAAAATAGTACAAAGGGGGGACCAGGTCAAAGTCTTTTTTCAAATCCGTCAAAGTCTTTGAGAGCCATTTTGAATTTAAAGATTAGATTTCACTGCGGAATAAAAATTTTGAAATCCGACTTTGAGAGCCATTTTGAATTTAAAGATTAGATTTCACTGCGGAATAAAAATTTTCGTTCTTGTTTTCTCAAATTGGGTTGTTTTTAGCGAAAAAGTGTTAGTCAAAAAAGCTTCTTGAAATGGTCAGTGATTTAAAGTGATATTGTTTTCTTCGAAATTTGAAAAAAAACCTGCCAAAATTTTGAGAAGAAAACTTACTTTTTAGTGTTTCTGAGTTCATCGGCACTTTTCCATTTGTCTGTTGGCTATGTTTTTTTTTGTTTCCTAAGTCTTTAGTAAGGTTTTCCCACTGGCTGTCAATTGCTACATTTAATTTTAGTGGTTTGATAATAGTTTTTTTTTAAGATTAATGAACGTAGTGAAGACTCTTATATAGGTCCTACTGATTGTTTGTTTTTTTTTCATGAAAAAGTCTTAAATTTTGTTCACGCTCAATTTTGATATTTCGCGGTTTGACTTGTGATTTCTTTTGAAGTTCAATCCATTTCCATTGTTAAAAGGAAGGCAAACTCCACTATCGAACAGCAAAAGTGTAAAGGTGACGAAAAACGTGGTCGACTTCTGATTTTGAAAATGGAAATTAATTATCTGACTTCCCAGCGAAATAAAAGTTATACCTGTTGGTCCAGTTTTCTCAAATTGGGTTAATTTTAACATTAAAGTGTCCATCATAGATTGTTCTACAAATTCAAAGAGCTTTAAAGCCATCTAAATGTTTATTAGAATTTCAAAAATTAAAGAGTTTCCTTGCATTCATTACTTTTTTTCAACTGTCAGTTGGCTATGTTTTTTATTTGAGTTCGTTTATATGTGTTCAAATGTCTGTTGCCTTTTTTTCTCAACGTTCGCTTTTTGTTTAATTTTCTGTAGAGCATTTAATATAGACTGAGTATTGAAATTGTGAAGTGTATTCAATCGACTAATTCGGGTCTTTGGTTTTCAGTGAGAAATCGGGAGCGGTGCGTCTGATGCTGGTCATCTGCAACCAGGCAGACAAATCTGAGAAGCTGCAGAAGGCAGTACTAGGTCACTGTTGGATGGTCATGATCGCCAATCTGCACCACCTCATAGACCAGTCCATAACAGACGGGGCCAAGCGGGACCTGCAGTACATTGGCAAGTGTTTCGCGGAATGCCTGTGGGATGGGAAGCGTGAATTTGTTACAGAATATCCGGACCTGCTCATATCCCTGGAAGGACTGGACAGTTTGATCAAGACAAGGGTAAGACATGGATTTGAGTCAAGGTGATCACTTGGTCACTATTTTAGTGACCAGTCGCTAATTGGTCACTATTTTTTCAATGGTCACTAAAAGTCACTATTTACAACGGTTTTTGGTGACGGACCCTAAAATTTGTTTTATTTAGTCCTCCTTTGTTTTATTTTGAGATATCCATTTGTGGTTGCAGACCCTAAAAATTTTCTAAAGGCGCTTTTGGCGCCAATTTATACTAATATTGAGGGGGGAGCGCGCGCCGAAAAAACGCAAACGGGGAGTCACGCTCAGCTATATGTTTTTTTTGTAATATGACTTTCTTAACGTTTTTAATATCATAAAAGTCAATTATAAATGATTTTTGAAGCTCAGAGTCTTAATGGTCTCTTAGAGCTCGATAGCATTTTGCCAACTGTCTGATATCTATGTTTAAGTGTGTTGGTCGTTTCAGCGAGCTACCCGTACTTGGAGACCGAAGACTAGTACAATCAAGGAAGGAGACATGGGAGAGAACGAGGACGAAGACGAAGAGGTGGAAGGAAGTGAGAAAGACAAGGACAAGGAAGAGGGGGAGGAGGAAGGGGAAGGAGGTGAAGAGGAGGGGGAGGAGGGAGAAGAGGGCGAAGAAGTTGAAGGTGAAGGCGCAGAAGGTGGGGGTGTTCACAAATATTTGACATATCCACTTAGACCAAGTTGAAATCATCCATCCCATTATAGCGCTTTTTGTTCATCCATCCCATTTTAGCTGCTTTTGTCGTTTTCTCGCAAGTGTTTGCGAATCGAAGCTTCGCCCCTGTGTTGAAACTTGTTTTTCTGTTAGTAAATTTACCATTCCGATTTCATTATATCCGTTTTTTTTTTCTAATTTCGAGTCCTTTGATAAGCAAAAAGTTGTTATCTAAACCCTTTTTAAAGGGGGACTTTTTAAAAGAAAGGCGAACTTCATAATCGAACAACAAAAATGTTAAGATCAAGAAAAACGTGATCGACTTCTAGTATTGAAAGTGGATTTTAATATTAGATTTCCTATTGGAGTAAAAACTTTTCCTAATAATCCAGTTTACGCAAATTGGGTTAATTACCAGAAAAGTACCCATCATAAATTGCTATTTAAATTCAAAGAGCTTTCAGGCCATAATTTTTTGTTTGAAATCAAAAGTGGAAGTTTTTTCAAAAGACAAGTCATTTGTTTTTCTGTTTCCTTGCGTTCATTGACTCTTTTTCAACTGTCTGTTGGCTGTTTACCGCTTTGTAAAATTTGTCTCGAGGCTCATTTAGAATCCAATTGCTTTTTTGCATGTTTTTCATAGAAGGAACTTAATTTGAGACATTTGAGCAAATATATGAAATATTGGGTATATCAATTTCAGATTTTTTTTCAAAGTTAGTCACTTTTTGCGGCCTTCGTTTCGTTTTTTGTCAGTTACTTTGCCTGTTTACAATAGCGATCAGCGTAGTGTATTAGTACGAACCGTTTTTTTCTAACTTAACTCTCAAATCAAAAAGTTCATTGAAAGTGTTCACTTATTTGGTGGCCCTTTTTGCTATAATCACGATCTAACATAAAATTTCAAAGCATCTGTTCTTTGCTCTATTTGTAACTTGTGTTCGTGATGTTTTAAGCGTGCGTGACTCAGTGTTTAGTGCTTGAGACTCATAATCTTTAAATCGCAGATCGCATCCGAGATCTAGCCGAATTTTTATTAAGTCGAGGCTTATTCTACTTTATCTTATTGCACTTTATAGTCCTGCTTTTTGTCGTGTTCTCGCTAATGATTGCGAAGCGAAGCTTCGCCTCTGTGTGTGTTTTTGTCGGTTGCTTTGTGTTTTAATGTGGTGCAACGCTTTGCTTCGCCTCTGTGTATTAATATTTTTATTTAGTATGACTAAAGTTAATGCGATTTTTTAAAAAAATTTAAGAGCGTGTTCATCTTTCTTTTTGGGCAGAATTGTAGTGAGCATTCTTGTTGCCCTTCGTTTTTCCTATCTAAGCTTCCAATAAATTCGATACGGCAATGAATAATCATTGTATATTTATATAGGTTTGTTGAATTATGTTCAAGCAAGTTTTTTTTGTTTTGTAAATTTAGAGGAATAAATTTTTCTTTTTCTATTAAACCGATCGTGTTGAAAAAAGTGCAGCTGATCATTTAGTCGAAACTTGCCAGTGTCTCTTTACGGATTTTCGCCCCACGGATCTCACTCATTTTTTTTCTATAAAACTCAAATTTTCTTTAAACAAAGCAGCCTGATTTTTTGTTTCCTTGACCTAAGTAATAATTTTTTAATCGTCTGCGTTCAATTGTTCTATATCTGTGAAGACTTTGACGAGTCTTAGGACTGTGGTGTAAACATTTTCTGAAGATAGTGTTTGATGTGGCTGTTCTTTTCAGGCGAAGAGGGTGAAGAGGAAGCGAAGAAAAAGAGCAAAGAGGCGAAAAAGGAAAAAGAGAAGAAAAAGAAGGAAAAGGAGAAGAAAAAGAAAGAGAAGGAAAAAGAGAAGAAAGAGAAGGAAAAGGAGAAGAAGAAAAAGGGAAGCAAAGGCGAAGATGAGGAGTCGCGTGAGAAGCCGGTGAAGAAACGGCCTCTCCATTTCGGACAGCCGGTCTACGACGGAGACGAGGCGCTGACCTTTTTGAACGCGGTGTTCGAGACTCACCAGGACGAAGTGCCGGCCGATGGGAAGAAGAGAAAAAGCACAGACGAAGAAGGAAGCAGCCAGGGATCCAAGTTAGTCTAGTTTTAAAAAACTTAACGCTTGCGAGTAGCTAGTGTTATCAAATCGCAATATAGAATTTTTCAGGCTAGCAATTTCATCAACAGATATAATTTGAGCATGTGTGCATTTAAATTACTGTTATATTCAACATTTGTGCTCATTTTGCTTGTAAATCAAATCAGATATATTTTTCCCTTAGTATTTTTTGCTTGATTTTCATTCGGCTTAGTCACCTCGTATTCGGTTGTTTGAAGTTTGATAACAAATTTTCATTCGTGTGCGAGCTGCGATATGTAAAATTTTTTAACAGTTCGGCTCAACAGGAGTCTACCCAGTTTGTGTCGGCTTAGTTGCGGATTCATAATTTTTGATTTAGTTCCAATTTACTGCTGGCAAATGCCTTTTTCGGTGTTTTTTTTTTCCTGAAACATGTTTATATTTGAGACAAAAGTATGCATTTTTTGTTCACCTTTCTCAATTTTTTCCGAACAGAATTTGTGTCTAGTTTTGCTTTCGGGTAGCTTCGATGCTGTTTTTGTTATGCATTGCAAGTGGTGCGAAGCTCGGCTTCACCGCTGTGTTAAATAATCATCTTTCAAATTTAATCATCAAATTTTACTTGGTTTTGAATCGCGCAAAAAAATCGTGGAACAATCAAGAGTTGTTTATTTATTGCTCAGAGAAATTAGCGGACATAAGATCTTATATTGATACTATTATGCAAATGTTTTCAGAGGTAGTCAAGCCGAAGGCAGCCAGGGCGAAGGAAGTCAGGCCGAAGGAAGTCAGGCCGAAGGAAGTCAGGCCGAAGGAAGTCAGGCCGAAGGAAGTCAAGCCGAAGGTAGTCAGGCTGAAGGAAGTCAAGCCGAAGGTAGCCAGGCCGAAGGAAGTCAAGCCGAAGGCAGCCAGGTCGAAGGAAGTCAAGCCGAAGGCAGCCAGGCCGAAGGAAGTCAAGCCGAAGGCAGCCAGGCCGAAGGAAGTCAAGCCGAAGGCAGCCAGGCCGAAGGCAGTCAGGCCGAAGGCAGTCAACCCCCCGATGAAAGCCAAGCTGAGGGATCGCAGGTAAATTCGTAAAAAACTCCTCGTTTGCGGTTTTAAGAGTCGATGAACGCAGTGAAGACTCTTATATAGGTCGAGTTGATTTTTTTAAATAGTCGATGAAAGTACTTCAAACTCTTATATAGGTCGTGATGATTTTTTTTTTTCGACTTTTTTTACGAAAAGTCTGTACACTAGCCGGCAGCGTAGTGTATTGGTACGAATCTTTTTTTTTTCTTACGTAACTCGCAATTAAAAGTGTCATTAAAAGTTTTGCTTATTTGGTGGCATTTTTGCTATAATCACGATCTGAAGCATTATAACTTTCAAAGCATCTGTTCTCTTCTTTATTTGTAATTGAGCGTCTGTGGCTGAGTTGTTAGTGCGGGAGACTCATAATCTCTAGGTTGCAGATCGAATCCGAGACGTAGCCTAATTTTTACTAATTCGAGGCTTATTTTTAATTGCACTTTATAGAGCTGCTTTTTGTCTTGTTCTGGCTAGTTTTTGCGGAGCGAAGCTTTGCCTTTGTGTAAAAAGCTCTAATAGCAAAAGAAGTGCATTCAGAAGTCTGAATGCACTTCTTTTGTTATTAGAGCTTTTTACACAGAGACGAAGCTTCGCTCCGCAAAAACTAGCCAGAACAAGACAAAAAGCAGCTCTACAAAGTGCAATAAAAAATAAGCCTCGAATTATTAAAAAATTAGGCTACGTCTCGGATTTGATCTGCGACCTAGAGATAATGAGTCTCACGCACTAACCACTCAGATACGCACGCCTAAAATATCTCGAACACTGGCCGCAAATAGAGCAGAGAACAGATGCTCTGAAATTTTCTATGTTAGATCGTGATTATAGCACTTTCCACTTTCAATGAACACTTTGGTTTGAGAGGTAAGTCAAAAAAGGTTCGCACAAAAACACTACGGTGATCGAGGGTGTAAACAGGCAAGTAACTCAGAAAAAGAAAGGAAGGTCGCAAAAAATTGACTAAATTTGAAAAAAAAACTAAATTTTTCTTTTTCTATTAAACCGATCGTGTTGAAAAAAGTGCAGCTGATCATTTAGTCGAAACTTGCCAGTGTCTCTTTACGGATTTTCGCCCCACGGATCTCACTCATTTTTTTTCTATAAAACTCAAATTTTCTTTAAACAAAGCAGCCTGATTTTTTGTTTCCTTGACCTAAGTAATAATTTTTTAATCGTCTGCGTTCAATTGTTCTATATCTGTGAAGACTTTGACGAGTCTTAGGACTGTGGTGTAAACATTTTCTGAAGATAGTGTTTGATGTGGCTGTTCTTTTCAGGCGAAGAGGGTGAAGAGGAAGCGAAGAAAAAGAGCAAAGAGGCGAAAAAGGAAAAAGAGAAGAAAAAGAAGGAAAAGGAGAAGAAAAAGAAAGAGAAGGAAAAAGAGAAGAAAGAGAAGGAAAAGGAGAAGAAGAAAAAGGGAAGCAAAGGCGAAGATGAGGAGTCGCGTGAGAAGCCGGTGAAGAAACGGCCTCTCCATTTCGGACAGCCGGTCTACGACGGAGACGAGGCGCTGACCTTTTTGAACGCGGTGTTCGAGACTCACCAGGACGAAGTGCCGGCCGATGGGAAGAAGAGAAAAAGCACAGACGAAGAAGGAAGCAGCCAGGGATCCAAGTTAGTCTAGTTTTAAAAAACTTAACGCTTGCGAGTAGCTAGTGTTATCAAATCGCAATATAGAATTTTTCAGGCTAGCAATTTCATCAACAGATATAATTTGAGCATGTGTGCATTTAAATTACTGTTATATTCAACATTTGTGCTCATTTTGCTTGTAAATCAAATCAGATATATTTTTCCCTTAGTATTTTTTGCTTGATTTTCATTCGGCTTAGTCACCTCGTATTCGGTTGTTTGAAGTTTGATAACAAATTTTCATTCGTGTGCGAGCTGCGATATGTAAAATTTTTTAACAGTTCGGCTCAACAGGAGTCTACCCAGTTTGTGTCGGCTTAGTTGCGGATTCATAATTTTTGATTTAGTTCCAATTTACTGCTGGCAAATGCCTTTTTCGGTGTTTTTTTTTTCCTGAAACATGTTTATATTTGAGACAAAAGTATGCATTTTTTGTTCACCTTTCTCAATTTTTTCCGAACAGAATTTGTGTCTAGTTTTGCTTTCGGGTAGCTTCGATGCTGTTTTTGTTATGCATTGCAAGTGGTGCGAAGCTCGGCTTCACCGCTGTGTTAAATAATCATCTTTCAAATTTAATCATCAAATTTTACTTGGTTTTGAATCGCGCAAAAAAATCGTGGAACAATCAAGAGTTGTTTATTTATTGCTCAGAGAAATTAGCGGACATAAGATCTTATATTGATACTATTATGCAAATGTTTTCAGAGGTAGTCAAGCCGAAGGCAGCCAGGGCGAAGGAAGTCAGGCCGAAGGAAGTCAGGCCGAAGGAAGTCAGGCCGAAGGAAGTCAGGCCGAAGGAAGTCAAGCCGAAGGTAGTCAGGCTGAAGGAAGTCAAGCCGAAGGTAGCCAGGCCGAAGGAAGTCAAGCCGAAGGCAGCCAGGTCGAAGGAAGTCAAGCCGAAGGCAGCCAGGCCGAAGGAAGTCAAGCCGAAGGCAGCCAGGCCGAAGGAAGTCAAGCCGAAGGAAGTCAAGCCGAAGGCAGCCAGGCCGAAGGCAGTCAGGCCGAAGGCAGTCAACCCCCCGATGAAAGCCAAGCTGAGGGATCGCAGGTAAATTCGTAAAAAACTCCTCGTTTGCGGTTTTAAGAGTCGCAGTGAAGACTCTTATATAGGTCGAGTTGATTTTTTTAAATAGTCGATGAAAGTACTTCAAACTCTTATATAGGTCGTGATGATTTTTTTTTTCGACTTTTTTTACGAAAAGTCTGTACACTAGCCGGCAGCGTAGTGTATTGGTACGAATCTTTTTTTTTTCTTACGTAACTCGCAATTAAAAGTGTCATTAAAAGTTTTGCTTATTTGGTGGCATTTTTGCTATAATCACGATCTGAAGCATTATAACTTTCAAAGCATCTGTTCTCTTCTTTATTTGTAATTGAGCGTCTGTGGCTGAGTTGTTAGTGCGGGAGACTCATAATCTCTAGGTTGCAGATCGAATCCGAGACGTAGCCTAATTTTTACTAATTCGAGGCTTATTTTTAATTGCACTTTATAGAGCTGCTTTTTGTCTTGTTCTGGCTAGTTTTTGCGGAGCGAAGCTTTGCCTTTGTGTAAAAAGCTCTAATAGCAAAAGAAGTGCATTCAGAAGTCTGAATGCACTTCTTTTGTTATTAGAGCTTTTTACACAGAGACGAAGCTTCGCTCCGCAAAAACTAGCCAGAACAAGACAAAAAGCAGCTCTACAAAGTGCAATAAAAAATAAGCCTCGAATTATTAAAAAATTAGGCTACGTCTCGGATTTGATCTGCGACCTAGAGATAATGAGTCTCACGCACTAACCACTCAGATACGCACGCCTAAAATATCTCGAACACTGGCCGCAAATAGAGCAGAGAACAGATGCTCTGAAATTTTCTATGTTAGATCGTGATTATAGCACTTTCCACTTTCAATGAACACTTTGGTTTGAGAGGTAAGTCAAAAAAGGTTCGCACAAAAACACTACGGTGATCGAGGGTGTAAACAGGCAAGTAACTCAGAAAAAGAAAGGAAGGTCGCAAAAAATTGACTAAATTTGAAAAAAAAACTGAAATTGATATACCGAAATTTTCTTTTATTTGCTTTGATTATGTCTCAAATTAAGTTCCTTCTATGTTTCATCTAATTCTAGAGCAGCAGTGGTCGAGTGGGGTAAGGTACTCGTCTCTCTAGACGATGGCCATGTGTTCGAATCCAACTTCGAAATTCATACTTATAAATGCACATAGGAATGCCGTTAGGTATGTGCACGCCTTTTTTGAGTTCAATTCAAATTCATTTGGCTGACGAAAACTAAGTTGAAACCGCACAAAAAATGTGATCGATTTCTAGTTTCGAAAGTGGACTTTAGTTTGAAGGTTTCACAGCGGATTAAAAGTTTTTCTTAGTAACCCAGTTTTCTCAAAACGGTTAGTCTTATTACAAGAAAAGCTGGTTTGATAATATGATTTCTCTTTTTTCAACTCAGCTTTAGTGACAAATAACCAGCTATTATTTTGACAGTATTTTGATCAATAACCAGCTATTAAGAACAGCCAATGCTAAGGATATTTACATGGACTATTATATTACAAATAGCACTTAAGCTTCAAGGTATCGGGGATCTGTAGCGTACAGGTAGGGAAGGAGACCCGTAACGAAATAATATGGTTCGAACGTGGGCAGGGTGGGATGTTTTTAATGAACTTTTTCGTATACTAGTTGAAATGTGTCCGCTCTATAAATTGAGACATGTTAGTTGGTAATTTTTTTTTCAAATTGACTGGTACTGCTAATGCGTCATAATTGGCTTGCGTCACGTAGTAATTATATAGACTCGTAATTGGCGTGCTCATGTAAGAAATTTGTAGTCTTGAAATTTTACTCATTCAGTTTTTCCCAATAGCGTTAGCGGTCATATTTTTGCTTGTGTATGCGAAGTGCTACTTCGCCTCTGTGTCAAAATTGCTCGTGAAATCAAAGAGCTTTAAGGGCATAATTTTTGTTTGATATTGGAAAGTTGACGTTTTTCTAATAATAAGTCTTTTTTTTCTGTTTCTTTGCGTTCCTTGACTCTTTTTCAACTGTCGGTTCGCTTTTTTTCAGGAAAAAGTCTTAAAATTTATTCCTGCGCATTTGATTTTTTGCGGTTTGAAATTTTTTTCTTAAGTTCAATTCATTTCTATTGCTAACAGAAAGGAAAATTTCACTATCGAACAGAAGTTCAAAGGTCACGAAAAAGTTGATCGATTTCTACTTTCGAAAATCGATTTTATTATCACATTTTCCAGGGAAGAATTTTTGCAACCAGTTTTCACAAATCGAGTAATTTTATCAAAAAATCTCTGTCACTGATTGCTTTTGAAGCGAATGATCTTTAAGGCCATATGTTTTTTATTTTAAAATTTGAATGAAGTTTTTTCAAAAAACAACCAGTTTTCACAAATCGAGTAATTTTATCAAAAAATCTCTGTCACTGATTGCTTTTGAAGCGAATGATCTTTAAGGCCATATGTTTTTTATTTTAAAATTTGAATGAAGTTTTTTCAAAAAACAACCAGTCAATTTCTTTTTCGATTTCTGTGAGTTCATTGACGCTTTTCGAAATGTCTGTTGGCATTGTTTGAATTTTTGGCTACCAGAGAGTTTCGCACTCGAAATGAAAGATTTGCTCCTGGTGCCGTTCTAGAAGTTATCTTTGACTGCTGTTGAAGAAATTTTCATTGAACAATCAATAGTATGCAACCATTATTTGTTATTTAATCTTGCGATAAACAAGGGCATTGCGATCGGGTATTGGACTTTTGTCCCTTAAATAACGCTCTTCGCATGGTGGAATTTGAGGTCATCTCCATGTCTGCAAATTGTCAACCAACCTACCTTTTTTCGTTGTTTCATGGCCACTTATCCTTTACATCTCTATCCCAGGCCAGTATATCCCATTACACAGTAGCCCAACAACCATACTGGCCCAGGACAAAGTAGCCCATGCCAATTAAAGTATCGCATGCCAATTAAGGTATGCCATTTGAAGAATCGAAGCACCTAATTTTTCCTAATTGGTTAATCAAACGATTTAATGTCAGAATGGTTCTTGGCGAATCGTCCATTATTTCCGACAAGGCTGCCGCATTTTAGCAAACTGATTAAAGCGTGGTGTCAATTTCAGGTCAAAGCATAAATATTCAATGCACTCGAGTTTTGTTGATCGATCTTTTGAAATATCCAAGCAAAAAGACGTAATTTTTTAATCTAGCATTCTAGCATTGTTAAAGTATATGAAGCTTGTTCAAAAGATCAAACGATGGCTTAACGATGAATCAAAAATTTTAGTTTGAATTAGATGAAAATTGTCACCTAAAACAATATAGGAGGTAGGGGAAAATAAAACTAATGGTTGGTTTAATCAATAGCCATCTACCAAGAAATGGAACCTCTACGATGAATTTAAGTTCAAAAACAAATTTTTTTTGCAAATCGATATAAAAAGTCGACAATTTGGCAAAAGCGTACCCACAAATTAATAAATGGAAATCGTAAAAACAGCGACAAATTAGCCAAAGCTTGAAGGTTAATTACTCATTCAGAGTTTTCGTATCAGTTAGTGGTTATACGGACTTTTTCCTTGAGTTCTTGATGCTTGTTACGGATTTGATTGATTTGTTATGCCGTTCATAATATCGAGCTTCTGATTTAAGAAATTAAGCTGAATTCTTACTAAAACAATGCGAGTCGATAGTTGGCTACCATGAAAAAGCAGTATTACGCCGTTAAGCCAGCCTTCGACCGCGTTGGCGTAGCGAATTAGACCTGAAGCTGTGTTGTCACGGTGATTTCAGAGTCCTGGAGGAGCAAAGGATCATGTTTTCGTTAGACAATGGGTTATCTTTCAATAAAGGTTTTCTGAAATTTGAAGCCAGTTCGTCAATCTTTTTTTTATATCAGTTGATATGCCAAGCTCATTAGCAGTATCGCAAATTCCATCGATTACTAGAGAAAACGCTGACTCAACATCGGAGAAAGGAGTGAAACTTGGAGCTAGTATCATTTTGAGATTAAGGCAAGCTTAGCATCATTTTCGCAGTTTTTTTTTAAAAAATCCAACTCTGAAAGTTTGCGATAGAAGTTTTGGCATAGGTCGAAGTAAGATCTCAGTACGACGTGCCCAATCAGAGTAATCAGGGCTTTCAAGAGTCGTTTTTGAGTGTTTTTTTTGTTGCTGAGCAGAATGTTAACGCAAGGTGATTAATATTTGCAATTTAGATCTGTGTTGTGAAAAAATGAGATGGACAGCTTTGATAGTTCCGTCACAAAGCCAAACAAGACTGCTCGTATCAGGGCGAAGCCCTGGATGTTCCGACTGCCTTTTGAGGTTTCATGAGCAGTAGTAACAAAAAAAATTAAACATAAGATAAAATTTTTTTTTTTTAAATTTGCAAATTTTTATGAAAATCATCCCCCCACACGCCATATAAAGTACAAAAAGATAGATTTTGCTCCTATTATTATATCAATTATAGCATATAAGCTTTCTTGAACCATTGTGGAACGATTTCTAGGGCGGATTAAATCTCCGCTTACGCGTTAATAGCGCGAAATATATCGCGCGTTAATTGTTCCAAATTGGCAAAAATGGCAATCTTTAAACCCCCATAACTTTACGAAAAATAGTCACAGGTGAAATATCTTTTCAAAATTAAGCTCAGGTCAACAATAGCTTTTGAATGATATAAAAATTCTGTCAAAAATGGCTAGTTAAAAAGTCGAAATTTGTCTGAAGAAAAAAAAACCCACCCCGAGCACAAATATTCCGTTACTTTCGTATCGAAAGTCGGAACAACAAACCATTCTTTGAATGAGAAGAGCGTTGAAGTTCTTCCTGTCTCAGAGAATAATGGGTCTTTCTTTGTCACATTTTTCGCTTTTATATCCTAATTACCCAAATATGTCTGTAACAAGTTGAAAAACAAACTCTTATCCGTAGAAAAGATTGATTTACTAATGTCACTTTTTCTGTTTTGCTTCTCGATTAAGTTGTGGCTGCTGAATTGAAACTCATTTCAATTGCAATATGCACCAATCTTTGATATCTTATTTCAGCACTTAGTTTTAATCCCTTGAAAGTCAAATAAGGGATATGTTTATTGACATGGACAATTTTGGTGTGAACTATTTTTTTTCCACAGGTTTATGCCGTTATAGGACAATTTGGTACGGGAAACTTTTTCCTGTCACTATATTTCGAGTATTTATGGATTTTTTTGTATATTTTGAGTAAGGTGATTGTAAACATACCAACTCCGATTTATTAAAATTTCAGTTTTTTGCTGTTTGTATAATTGGCTCAAAAGGTTTTGGCTTGCATTATGTCGTCTTAGTGGGTTATATTGCCTCGTTTTGTTTGCGAAGAAACTTTCTAATGTATGTGTTCATCAAGGCGATCTTAAGTTATCGTTGTCAGTTAGAGCTATCGCGAAGCAATAATATCTATAAAAATGGTACAATAGTAATGTTATCAGTTAGAATCTAGAAATTAGATTAACTTAAGGCGAAACAACTAGTTTCAACTCCCAGGAGAAAAAATTTTTTGATAGGGAGTTAAATTTTGAGTTAAATATTAAATTGAGAATGAGAATTTCAAGGAGTTGGAAAGTAGAACAAACCAGACTCGAAAAGGCCATGAAAGCCGGAAGGTAAAAACCAAAGTCATTTTGCGATCTCCGATAAGTGGAACTGGACGTTTCAATCCCAAGTGGCTTTTTTATTGCAAGGTTTTCAAGCGGAAAATCTTGAAAAGATTTTCCGAAAATCTTGAAAAGATTTATTTTTATTTCGATCCCAAAATGTTCTTCAAATTTAAGGAGCTTTAGTGTAATATTTTAAATTGTAAATCAAGGAAAACTATAAAATGAGTTAAAGTGTGTTTATTTTTGATTTCCTGAGTTTGACTTTTTCTAGCTGCTTGTTGGCGATCAAGTTTTTTTCTTCAACTTAGAATTCAAGTGTCTTGCAAAACTTTTGTTTATCAACGTCTTCTATAAAACTATGCTGAATGTTATCAGCAATATCCTTCACCTTGCAATCGATCGATGTCAAAATGCACTACTTATGTTTACAAAGAACCTGTTAATTGTTCTCTTTAATTAGATAGAAGAAGACGAAGAGAGGGGCAGTCAGCAGCCACCCCCAGAGGAAGTGGACGAAACTACCGGTGGGTGATCAAATCAACACTCCATTTCCTTTTTTCCTTTCCTCCCCACCCCCCCCCCCTCCGAAAAAAGTTTTCTTTGGATCTTGTAAACCTTCCCCACCCCAAGGGCAAAAAAGGGAACGTTGCGAAGTACAAATTTATCACATATTTAACTATTGAATTAATTCTTTATAGCGGTGGAATTTCTTTACTAGGTACCATGTAGGGTAGAGTTGTGATTCATTTTTTCATGTACATTAATTAATACCAAAATTTTACTTGTAGTTTGTCTGCATTGGCATTATTATTTGGTAAATCATAAATTGATGTTTTTGGAGAAATGTTGTGCAACATATAGTCATAAAGACCTCCTCGGAACTTTGGTTACTCCGTCAAAATCAAAATGATATCTGCTTGAAAAGAGTCTTGATTCATTTTGGAAAAAACCGAGTGACTAACCACGATTGAGTGAATCAAATGTTTAATTGGTGAAATAGTAAGTATTCACTGAACTGTGAGCTAATGTGTTGTTGCGCAAGCATTTAAATTTAAATCCCAATCGTTGTAAATTAAAAGTCACGAAAATGAAGCCTTTGAAATCTGTGTTACACTAGTTTGTGGACAAAATTAAACGCAAATTCAGGCTTTTACTCTCTTAATAAGACTAATTTTCAGGATCATTTTGGACAAATTTACTTGAAATTTTAAAAACATTTCTATATGGACCGACAGCAAATGATCTGAACTACCCGCTGGCTCTGAAAATTTCAAATTTTAATTCGAAGCATTTATCATTTTTTCCTGGTCTGAAAATGCCAATTTTTATCGTCTACGCTGGGTTTTGCATCGCAGTGAACTCTTTCTCGAATAATCGGAGCTTATACGATCTGCAATGTCGCAAGCGATTAGTAATGTGACATATAACATTCTCAGCGAGAAAATTGAAATGATCAGTGTGAACATTTTGCTTAACTCGGCTGTTACTTACTTTTTCACGCGGATTGAAAATCTAATTGCGGATATAAAAACTGGCATTTTCAGACCCGGAAAAAATGGTAAGTGCATCAAATTAAAATTTGAGACTTGTGGAGAGGGTAGTTCAGATCATTGCTGTCGGTCGATGTAAAATTTTTGATAAAATTGCAAGTAAATATTGTCCAAAATGGTCCTTAAAGTTAGGCTTCTTAAAGAGTAAAAGCCTGAGTTTGCGTTTATTTTTGTTCACTAGTGTATAATTAATCACTCTCGAAACAAACCAGAACTAAGATAGTTGACTCTCAGAGCCTTGTTTTGATGTAAAGTAAGAAGTCAATTACACGTGTTATGTTGTTGACAACAGGAGCTAGTGCAAGTGGAGCTGGATCCGCTCAGACTTCTAGTGAGATGGGGGAGGGGGGAGGGAGTGAGTACGAAGATGCGGGGGGCAAGAAAAAGAAGCGGAAGAGAAAAAAGAAGAAAACAAAGATGAGCGAAGCTGTTCCCGAGGAGGACGAGGAGGAGGGCTAGGAAGAGGGGGGGTTGGAAGCGGATCAACTGGAGGGCCAGACCAAGAAGTAAGGTGGAACCAAGCGAGAATATTGGAAACCACAAAGTTCAAACTACAGCAGTAATGACCAGTGTTAATTTTCTTAAAGTTATTTATCACACGTGCGCAGTTTGAGCTATATTAATAGGTCTTAGAAGTTCTTTAAAATGTTCAGTTCAATTTGAAAAGCGAGCTCGATAATCAGCAGTTGAAATTTGCTCTCATAAAAACCCGTGTTGAGTTCACATTGAAAATTAGCGATTAAAGCTTGAATTTTTATAGATGGGTTATCGTTAATTTAGCGCTAGGAAATCAGCCATTTTTTAGCGATCAAACAGCAGTAAATCATGGATGATTTCAAAATGTTATAAAAATTCATCGGTAATTTGTCGATGATTTACTCCTGAATTTTGATTAAAGACTGAATTCAGCCAGATTTCATCATAACACGAAACTGAATCCAGCTGTACCAAAAACAACAGATTTTAGAAAGTGTTGAATTTTTGAAGTTTTTGGTGTCTCTGAAATCATTACTTTTTGAAATCATCAAATTGGCACATGGGTTCCGGCTTCTGGTATGACTTGCCAAGCATCCAGCGTTCTTGCATAAAGCGATGATCATGCTCAATTGTTGTACCCGGCAAGAGCAAAGCCAATCCCATGTTTGTATCAATCAAAGCATTCAACTTTCGGCATTCAACTTTCGGCATTAATTTCCGAAAAAAGACAATTACTCTTGAAACAAAGCGCTTTCATTTTTTTAAATTGATTTTTGGCTCCCTGGTTTTCAGTTAGTTTATCATCCTCCTCCGTACCGCATCCTTAAATGCTTTAAAGTAGGTGTAATTTGGTCTACAGGTGCACCAACCACAACGTAATAAAAACGATAACATTTAAGTTGTTTTGAAATCTTGATCATATTTCCATCTTAAGAATCCTTATCAAAACTGACTTCCAAATTGGTTTTATCTTGAAATAATCGTGAATAGTGGAAAAATCTCGTAAGCTTTTTGTGAATACAAATTAAAAACCATAATAAAAACCATAGAAAGTTTTTCGAAAAAAACCTAGAGTTCTCTTGTTGTTTATTCAAAGGATCAGATGATATTTCATAAATGGTTTACTCTAAACTTAGATCAAAACTTAATTAGAATGAAAGAAAATTTCGAAAATGACAATCAGGTTTGTTTTATGCTGTAAACTTTGCTATCTGGACTAAGAGATTATTTCCTAACGTCCTTCTCTGGCTTGCGTTGGGATCCGCAAGGGAAAGACCGAATTCTAACACGTAATCACAATATCCCTTTTCATTGAATTTTTAGTAGGCGTAAGGTTTCCTGTGTCGAACTCTGCTGCGCCCGCTTTTTCTCGTCCCGGCTGTTTTTATTCGACTTCAGATTCAACACGCAAGATGTTTGATGGCATGTTAATTCAAGATAACGAATAATTATCCAATTGTACAAGGCCTATAGGATTGCCAGAATTTAACCTATCATTTTTCGCGATGTATGGTTTTGCGAGTTATCTACTAACTTACCTCTTGCAATTGAATTAGACGGTATCCTATAATGAAGTGAATCCTTTGTTACTAAAGGATTCCCAACTTCAGTTTCGCTCACTCACTCTACTGTTTCGACTATCTCCCTGACAGTCATTATTATACGAGATCAATTCGGCTTTAATTTTCGCACCCTCGTTCCTACAGACAGACTTGCCGTTTTAGGCTCTAAACAATTGCTCTGCCTCGTGGAGTAGACCCTCCAATTTCTTCTCTTTTATTTACATTTAGTTTCCTTAAAGTCACGCCATTCGCAATCAGTCCTGGCGTCCGCTTGATTCGCTCATTCGCTGATGTTTTATAACTCCATCCCTCCCCCTGTCAACGCTGACAAGCGACATTTTTTCATCAATCGCGTTACGCTTATTAGTTACAGGTATGCGGTAGGTGTCACAATTTGACCCAAGAAAACAATTGCCATACGATCCTGATCAACTAATTCCTGACTTCCGTCAACTCTATACCCCGAGTTCAACTCAACCTCCAAACCATGCAATGTTGGTGAGCCTTCTAAGGTCTTTATTTTAATTATCCTGAAAGTGTTTCCGTTTCCTAGGCATATCCAAATTATATCTCATTGCAATCACAGCGTTCTAGCTCCTGAGGGCATGCCATTCCCTCCCCAGTTGTTCTCTCAGGTCAACAAACTACTTCCCGGAAGCTAATTGAAACTGCCCTTTGTATATTTTGGGTTCCTAAATTCCCGGTCCCTTCGTATATAAAAGTTTACCCTTCTGCGACTACTTTTCTTTGTTAAGCTCGTAACTCTATCAGCGCATTCGCCAAGCTAAGTCAAACCCAAGGTTTACCAAGTCCACTTAAAGTAATTCCACTACTCCAATGCGTTAGACGAAGAACAAGATATTCTTTTAGGCTTCAAGACTCCTAATGTATCCCCTGCAGGTAACTTTCATCCATCCTTGTTTCCACTCGATGATCACATTCCATTTCCAGTATTTATTTGTAAGGGATTGGTCTCTTCGGTGTTAAGTCTAGATGTTTCTATACAATTCGGGGTCATAAGTCCCAAAAGTCAACTTAATGTCACCCAAGTGTCAAACTTCTTCGGACAGGTTTGGAGTCTTATGGGGGTCCTACTCAACAAGTTTCGTCATTGTCCGATTAGTATTGCACGGGTGAGTCCAATTTGAAATTACATCATCAGTTTTGCCTGAAATTAGCTTTTGACCCCGGAAGCTGACACCGCATGAGGTGAGTTCACAAGGTTTTATTGACAAATATGTCATAAAACCGATGCGTTTTACTAAGCGTTCATTGCTGGTTGAATGCTTAGTAATTTTATCCTAAATTATAAGTCTCACCTTAGATCGTCAAATTGTCTTGAAAAAAAGTAGAGTAGAAACAATAGTTAGAAAAGGTATGAATTAATTAGTTGGTTAGATACAGAGCACTGGGTTATTAGATTATATAAATGAATCGAACAGCTTAAAGAAATATACCTATGAGGGGAGGTTGAGCTAATCTTATTTTGTTCATCAATATTTTATCTTCTTACTAAGGTCGGTGGCTGATTTGTATGTATGGTTGCCCTTGATGTTTGTCCAAGTCAGCACTTCTGGTTGGGTCGTCTGAATCGTCTTGCCGTAGTCCTTTGGGTACTTGTAGTCCAGACTTCCTCGGGGGTGCGTATCTCGATTATCTCGATTTATAATTTTTCAAATCAAACTTAAAATGAGAATTTATTCTCTTTTTATAAATGAAAAGGGCTAGATTAATTTTAGTGTTAGGGCAGAAAAGAAAAATTATTTATTTTTAAAAGATCTGACTGAAGAGAAATGACTTGCTGCTGACTGAGCAAAATGAAACACTGAAGATTTCAGGCCAGTCCTTTTGCTCATAAGCATAAACCGGCGGCTGATTCAATCTTTAATTATTCAGGTTTCACCTGCTCCTTTGTTCTCCCTTTTTAATAAGGGAATTTTCAACTAGTTTTTATTTGATTTTTTCAAATCAAATATCTTCAACTTATTAGTCCCCTTTGATAAAAACCGCATTAATTGAGCGTATTAATAATCGCCGCCCTTTTAAAATATTGAGCATGAAAAAATGAGAAAAATTGGTCAAGTATTTAAAAAGGAGTGGATTTTCAAAACAAGATTTTATAGTCCTAATAAGAGTAAATCAGTCAAAATCTGATTTAGTGAAAAGAGGCTTTAATTTAAATGGCACGCTCCAATTTAGAATTGGGTTGTTAAATAAACAATTAAGACAATGGTCTTTTGTGTGTGTGTAGTATTTCGCAATACTACAACTCACCCCTTTTTTTAGAAAATTAAGCTGTTCGATTCTTACAGTTACCATGGTGAAAATTTAAACACTTTAATGGTTAAATACTATAGTTATAAAATTTAAAGAGAACATCAAACGAAAAAGTTATAAAGATAAGTTAGGTTTTATCTAGAGCTTCCTTCCGGATTCAAGCTCCACATTGTATGATCTGAGGATCGCTATCTTCCTCTGTGAAGCCTCAAGTTTTTGTTGCAACTTCACGATTTTCTTCTTTTTAATTTTGTTTTTAATTCCGTCCGTAAGTTGTTGAATTTCGTCCTGTTCTTCCTGTCTGTTTTTTACATGGTTCGGAAAAGCAGTTATTCCCTCGAACGGAATGGTGACTTGCGTGCCTCCTGCCTTGAGGATGTAGCCGTGTTCCTCCCTCTTCTTTAATTTCAAGAAGTTGTTTTCGTTCTTTATAACCCCTTCTGGCTGGGTTATGAAGTCGATAGGCATCATCGCCTTTTCCATTGCCGTTGAGTTAACGACTTCAATGAACGATGGCAGTTTCCATCTGTTAAAATTTTCCTTTATTGAGTACTTTAAACTCGTTATATATTTTGGATTTTCCGTATCCAATTTGGTTTCTCTGCACTTCTGCAGCTCCAATCTTTGGGTTAAACTGGGAAAGTTGCGAGGGTTCTTATTTAACCCGTCGTCTATTGACAAAGATTGAACTGCTAGAGGTTTCCGTTGTTTCTTCCTGAGGGGCAGCTTTCTTTTGAACTCCTCTGGTGCTGGGTCTGCGTTTCTGCAATTCCAGTTTAAAATTGGGTCGTATTCCATTTTGCTAAACATCAATATAAAATGACCAAATATTCAAAATCCCGAATTACATTCGGATATTAAGGCTAATTATCAAATGTTTGAACGATGAAGGACAAAGTGTAAAATTGTATATATATATATATATAAAAGGTGGAAAATATAATCTTGTGGTTTCACACAAACCCACCACGGAAAACAAATGAAGAAAGACGATCATGGTGTTTATTAACCACAGGAATACAAATCAAGAAAGACGATCATGGTGTTTATTAACCACAGGAATACAAATCAAGAAAGACGATCATGGTGTTTATTAACCACAGGAATAAAGCACTTTACAACACTGAGTTAAACTCAGATATTAAACTTATGTAGTTAAAGCAAAAAATGGAAATTTGGGCATTAATTAACCCCTAATCTTAAATGTATGTCCACCTGGGGTCATAACCAGCAATTTTTGTTACATTTTTTGATAGAAAATAGAAAAGATTTGAATTAGAATCAAATCAAAATGAAATATCGTGGAAAAGGAAAATTAAACAGACAATTTGCAAACTGTATAATTTTCAAAAAGATAAGTTTTTTAGTTTCTCTTTGGTTTTAATCCTCTGCATCAGTCCATGTTCACATCTTTAGTAGAGAAAGTCATCCTGAACTTTATGATGCAAAAATTTAACGTAAACAATCTTAAAGATGATGCGGTCCAATTTTCAAA